GCCGGAAATCGTTCATTATTCAGGCATCTTCCGAAGAGAGTTTGGCGCCTCCCCGTCATTCGTACTCGCCAAACCTTGAGCGCACCTCGAGGTCTGAGACTGTTTTCAAAATGATATTTAACCCCCTTCCTTTAGGATCAATCACCTTAAAGTTGCGTGGAACTCTCTTGCCTAACCACAGATGCAGGTTGTTGATGCTTCCTATTATTCTCTCCTCTTTAAGTAACGATTTCCCAGTGTCTTCCGACGCAACCCAAGCCAACGTACACAAATCCCACGCGCACACGATCAAACCCGATCGCACGCACACTGAACAGAAGTGCACATACATGCCGGCAACAGCCCGAATCTTGCATGACGTCATATCATGGCTTCTAATAACACCAAATAATCGTGGTCAAGCACCCTCGCAGGTCTATCTCCAAATACCACAACAGTTTTGTTGCTCTCGTTGCGCGTCAATCGGAACAGGACGAGACGTTCGTTGGACGTGTGGACAACAGGCAGGTGGCCAGAGTGATGACCGAGATCATGTCGTATTAGCGCGGCCGTATCGCACATCGATTGGTACTAACGGACAACGTCCAAACCTCATGATGCCGTCTTCCCAACGGCACAATTGCTTCCCCATGGATCCGAACATTACGCAAAGGCGAGTGCGTATATTGTCAGGCGAGGCTCACGCATCGGGCAAAATTGGCTGCCATGGAGACATAGGAAACCAAGGTCACATAGCGACTACTCACATCGCTGTGGACCTACACGAGGTGTCATTTGTGAGTTGTTTCAATTTGATGGCATTTTTGTTCGTAAAGTTGGGGCTTATCTGTACTGAGGGTCTACAGTAGTAATATTCGGTGGCGGATTGACGGTGCGGGTTTAGTCGTTAACCTTGGTCGTTTTCGGCTTGTTCGCTAAGTTCTTCCGGGGAAATGAACCTCGAATCGTCGATATTTCATTTCCTACCGTTTGTAGACCTGTTCGTTTTGTTGTCGGAACTTGGGTGTGTGTGCATACCTGCTTGCCTTCACCTTTGCTCTTCTCGAGCCCAGCCGGTAGCCGTATGTCGAGAGTTCCATTGTCGGCGATTGGAATCTTGATTTCGGCAGTTCGAACCTAAGTTGAAACGCTTCCGCCGTTGGGTACGCATTTAGAAAGCTACAGTTTCGCCCTTCTCGCTTAAAAAATGAAGACAGGCGCAGTAGAAGAGCCGTTGTTGTCAGCGTGGTCCTTGATCGGAACAGATCAGCTACATGGACGACACATATCGACAGATCAAATCTTCGAGCCACCCTTAGCGAGCGAGGTCCCGTCACAAGTACATTAAAGCAGGCGGGTTTCTATCCGGCTCGGCGTATCCTCCCCGTCCCATCCTACGGTAGAGCCGTAGCTCAACGGAAACAGCAATTCTCTGGCTTAGTCCTTCATCTCCTACATCCTGTGCATACGTTGAGGCTCACCACGACAGGAGTCTCAGCAGCTCGTGTCCACTTGGAACATTCCTCCCCCCGGTAGAAATGACGTTATTTCACTATCCGACACGCACATTCTCGGTGGTTGTTGCGGACGTTTAAGCCCGCGAACTAACCATTGGAGGCGACTCTTCTTTTCCCCTTGCCTGTGCTTGTTTCACACCCCGCCCGCTTTGGGGCGCAAGGTTCCGCTTGTTTGCTAGTGGCGCAAGCGGGAGGCGAGAGCTAGGACGCGCCTCGGCCCACGTGTCACCCTGCCAGTGACGCGAAACGCTGGCGTCGAGGGGGCCCCGTGGCATGGTCTGTCGCGGCGTGGAGAGCGGCCCTGGCGCGCGTGGCCCAGCAAGTATCTCTAGGGGGAGCAGGAAAATGCTGCAAAAGCGAAAATCGTCGGTAATGGTGGCCTCAGAAGTCTCCGGATCACCCCCGCCTCCACTCTCTCCGAACCCCGCCCCTCTCTCCGATTCGATCAAGTAGCCGTGTGCAGCCCTCCCGAAACGTTGAGTTCCACTCCCGTTTTGCCACACCTAATCTCTTCCATGTCCGTCGCCCACGGCTCGCGAGCGTCCGCGACTTCGGCGAGAGGGAGAGAAAGAGAGATGGCAAATGCCACACTGTCGCGGCCCCGTCTGCCACCAGATGCAACGACGACTACGGCGACCACAGGGATTCCTTCCACTACCCGGCATTGGATTCTTAACCGAGTACACGCTACGTTACGCCAGGGGGGGGGGGGGCTCGAGACATGAGATGGGTTGCCGGTTTATTTCTCCCGACGTGACAGGTAAACGTGTTTCATGAGGATGCCTTCGTGTTTGTAAATTTTACAAGGGGCCGAACAGCAGCGCACTTGACCATAAAAATAATCGCGAAGATAGATCGGTGAGCGGAAGCCCGAGGAAGGAGCGTAAAGGAAGGGGGGTGTTGGGTTGCTGCTGATTGGTCGGTCTTCTCTGTCGTTCGGGGTCCGGCGTCACGTTGGAATCGGTGGAGGCGCCCCGTCGGCAGTGGGAGGGAAGTTCAATATGACACGTGATGAAGAATCAACGCAATAAAATACGTCGGTTCCTACGAATGCCGTAGAATTTGAAGTGTTTCCACGGTACGGAGTGCTGACCTAACGTTACATAGAAGCACCGCAGATTTCACCGCCCGCTTTACGTAACCTGCTGTCTTTTTTCCTGTGTTTCAACAAGTTTACCCCTTTTTGTATATCAACCGCCGCGAGGTTTCGTGATTTAATGTTTGTAGGTCAGGATCAAAGACTTCTTTTCTCTCCTTGAATATTCGTCCAAATCGTTCGGGCTCTCCTTGTTTTCCCGAAGATTGTTGTGTCGTTGGTTTTGTGTGAAAACCTTGCACCAATCGATACTTCCATATTTGTTTTAAGGCGTTTCGTGGAGGACAGAATAATAGTGGATGGGCCAAGCGACACATTTGTTTGTGCATGCTCATCACGAAGAAAATTCTCGGTCAGGACGTCAGGACTTGATCGTGTTGCAAATCGTTGTTCAGGAGAAGCACCGTATGATCTGTTGCGTTTGTAACATGTAGTTGGTCCTCTCGAATATATCAGTCAGTGCCAATATTTGAACCGACGTGCCGGGCCCCAGCCAATTTGTCGTGCACCCTCAGTTGGCGAAAGTAAATACCGAGATGGACAACCAGATGGCGTTAGATTTAAGGACTGAAGGGGGTACGGCGAACGAGGGACGGTGAGAAAACAATCGATCTAGTCTTCACAGACGTGCTTCTCGCAGAACCGCGCTGGAAGGGCGTAGGGATGGCCACGTTAACGAAACGGACAGCTGTGGGAGCACAGCCTTCTGTCCGGATGGTGATCCGTCAGCACACTATTGGTGGCATTCTTGATCGAACCTTCCCCTTGCCCGCCCCGGTTAGATATTCAGCACGGAGAACCATTTCCACCTTCATTGAAAGCGAGGCAACTGCACAGCCCTGTGCTCGGATGGTGATCCAGTAGCGCAATACATGTAAGTGGTGTTCTTAATCGAACCTTCCCCTTCCCTTCCCCAGGTAGATACGAAGCGGCACCATGTCCACCTACATTGAAAGCGAGGCAACTAAAATGCGAACGTGCTACTCTCTCACCACCCCCCGTCGACTAGACAGAACAGGGTATGGAATGAAACGCCGGGCAACAGAAGCACGCGTGCTGCAGATTCTAAACGTTACCTGTAGCGTGCGATATGTACACATGGCTTCTAACCCTTCATCATACCCAACCCCGTTTTTACCCAAGACACCGGCGGCTAGTAACGACCGATGTTGCGAGTCTGGCCTACCTAAGCCGAAACATGAAGAGGAAAACATTGCTGACAGCACCAAACATCCGTAAGAACCGCGCGGCTATCCTGGCGGTGGCTTTGCCAATTTTTCCCTGGAAGGACGCCGACTTTGTACAAATGGACCTGTCAAACGCGATATATACACATTGCGCACCGTTTCTTGCTGTCCTTGAGCCCCATCAAGCTTGCACTGAACTCTTGAGAAGGCTACGGTGCCCAGCTCATGACTACTAGACGGAGACATGCTGGAAAAACAAAAAAACAAAAAACAAAGAGCAACGAATAAATCCTCTCGAGTGTATTATTCATGTATTGACCGCCTCCCCACGCAACGTCTCCTCTCGTGCAAGGTGCCGCATCGATGTACCGCGCGCATTCACAGTAACCCGTACGCCAGAGCCCTACAGTACCGAATCGAACCCGTGGAATCCTTACCCTGAAAAGTGCCTCACCGCCGCAGCAAGGCAGATTGGTACCTATCGAATTCCAACTCTCTTGAATTCCCATCGTAGAGCAATAGCGTTCAGCCCCCGATGCCATCGCGCGTCTTCGACTAACCCTGATGTGCATGCCGCCTCTCATTCATCCAAGCAGTTACGGCACGAGATAGCCGAGCGTGCGCGGCTTTGTCAAGCTTGCCGAAAATCCGGTGGACGCCGAACAGGAGCGCAAGCATCTGTGGAGGAGTTGGGGCACCAGAACGCACCATGCCGCCAAAATCGAAATGAGCTCGGTTCTTCATGACGACACGTCAAGTTGAGCTTGTTCGACTGGCGGCCATCGATACGTCCTGCCGCTTGGTTCTCTACCGGAGGACACAGCGGCAGCAGCATGCCCGCAAGGCTCAATAAGGCCGGAAATATAAATATGCACAGAATTTCTGGCCCAAACGACCTAACGTCGCAGCGTGGAGGGTATAGTCAACAGCGCGCTCACTCACCAGAAATATGATCGCGAACTGAGCGGGGTGCGGCAGGTCGTTCCACATGCACCTGGCACCAGACGGAAACTCAACCAGCCCTGCTCGGCGCGCACCAGAAGCAAAGTCGCGGGTGAGGGGGAGGAATCGAAAACCCATGTGCGCATGACCGCTAGCCTACAAGACACACGCTAGGAGCCCCGCGCATTTGTGCTGACGAGCCATTACTAAGACTAGCGGGCACCCCCCGACAGGTACATCCACCGCACTTGAAACTGTAGCTGCACTCGATATCATGTATCATGCAGTATTTCCGGTAGGATATCGCGTGGTCATGAGCAGGACAGGCACAGCGTTTCCAAATTCGACGCCGTACGTAGGCAGACCCCCCTCAGCCCGCAACACGGCCGACAACATGAGTGTTCGCCGCTCACTGTTGCTTTCCACGACGCTCACGGTCATTGCTGACATCAGGATCGCCACCAGGAGGTGAGACCTACCGCGGCGGCGTACAATGGGAACAGACAAGGGGGAGTAGAGGGCAACATGAAACGAGTAACACAGGGCAGAGTCAGCGGTCACTGCATATATGTGTGCGTGAAGCAGGCACGAATTACCGAGCAACGTAAACGACAGTCACATGCCAAGGATCGTTTCCCTTGACAGTTCCAAAACCGCTCGTCTCCGGCCGCACCAATGTGGGGGTGTACGTTCCACGGGTGCGCCCAAAAGCGTCAATGCCCCGACTTGCAGAGGATTCGGGAGTCTCGGTGCTGCGACACATGGCTGTCATCGCATGTGCGACCATACATGCACACCTGGTCGAATACGTATGTATGGGAGCCCTGAATAGGACCACTCCTTCCTCAAGACATGGCCCCCCTGGCAACAGGAACACGCTTGCGAAGGCGTACTGATTCCACATTGACTTCTAGAAGAGAAACAACCGTCATCCCACAGCCAACCATGCGTTCTACAGCTTCTATCCCGAATGTTTCAGGGCATGTAGACCTACTGTACAAAACGACGCCAAACGGTGCGGAACCACCATCCAACAAGCCGTTCCAGCTCCAATTTGCGCAACCGACACCACTGAACGCTTCAAGCGTCCAAAAAGATCCCGAATACTGCAAGTATTACGTAGGATATCGCGGTTCGCGGATGGGCCGCCAGGTCGTTGGTGGGTTACTCCCGTATTTCGAATCCCGTTTGGTCATGTGTACCTTCGTAGCGCGGGACGTCGCTTGCGGGCCTCCCGGGTCTTGCTCTTGCTGATCATCGCCGAAGCCCCGAGTTCAAGAAACGTAGGAGTCGGTGGCGGAAACAAGTCTTGCCAACCTATTGAGGAGACACCAGAAGCAGTGGTCCATGATGCGAGCTGCACGTGGTGCCGATCATTGCTAGAGGAGAGGGTCCAAAGGCCGTGCGTGCTTTTGCGGGATTTGAGTACACGAATCTGAACGGTAGTGCTAGGGAACGAATGGCAGGTTATGGCTGGAGTTTCTAGTTCTGGAGGAATGTTGTCACGGGATGAGTAGCGATGGGAGACATGGAGTTTTGATATTGACAAATTTTGAAAACAAACGCAAGAAGAGCACCAGAAAAGGCACAAAGAGACACACTAGTTGCAAGGAAAAGCGAAAAACAGAAATGGTTGATTTTCGCACAGGGCGGCAGTAGAGACTGCTCTAAACATACGTTTCACGTGTCTACCTCCGCACACCTCCTTTGAATCAAGTTAGAAATTCACACTACTCTTAGTTCAAGTCAAAAGAGCCCAAACGGCAGGCGCTCAGACAAGGTCGGTATTGCACTAGGTTCTACTGATGATACCACTAGAGGACACCCTATGGCAGCGTGGTGTGTGTGTAGGCGCGCTCAGATCTGCTTCTCAGGTTGTGGTGATATCGAGGGTCGTAGTAGTGGCCTGCAATCTCTGCAAATCTCCGCATCCTGCGTGTTGTATTGCTAGGGCTCGCCGCCACTGGCCCCGGTTTCCACTGTGGGTTGAATGCAGTAACCGATGCCACTCGCTACTGCTGACGACCTTCCCTTCACGGGTTTACGATCCGTGGCGGTGAGCACGGCGGTTAAAAGTGTGTGGTTCCGGCAAGTTCCGGCGCAGATTTCGGTCTGTTTTCGAGGCTGCTGCGACCTTCGATATTTCAGCTCCAGTAGCAAACCTGAACGTGGCAGCACACAGGACGCCTCTTCGTGTGTCATGAACTTACAACAGTAGAATGCATAGACTACAACCGTAGCGGCGGGAAGGTTGCTTTCCTTTTTATATTGGATTTGAGAATATAAATGGAGCCAGCGTCAAAGCACTTTGTCTTTAATCCCTGAACTGCGTGTCCCAGCAGTTGGCACCGCACCCCCCCATTTTATTAAGTCCACCAAAGAGAGAAAGGCACCAGCATCAGCGCTGCTCGTAGAGAAGATAATCAATGAGAAAATCTCTACCGGGGTCTTCAGGGATTGACATTTGAAACCAGCAGTGCGCCGTGCTGTGTGCAGCCTCGCGCTGGCGTTTGAGAACGACCTTTTCCGTTCTTCGACGGCCACATATATATATGTGTATTCGAGGGGTGTTGGCCTGCGCGAACCATGCTCCTACATGTTCGAGTACCCGTTCGTGTGGAAGGCCAGATCAGGTCAACTCCACGACCTGTGCTGATCGGTGAAAGTCTATTGGATCGCGTCATGTCGTGAACTGTTCTATAAGCCATGGATACAGGGGGAAAGTAATACAGCACGCTCGCTTTTCAATTTTTTGACGCTATTGCCAATGATGTTTGGCGGGCACCACTCACACATGTGATCCCGAAATGTTTCAGCTCTTCTGCCGCGGTTTGGCTTTCTCTAGAGCAAAGAGACACATCGGATAACAAATCGCACCTGCTGTGTACAGTACTCAACACACAAAAAAAAACACCTCGACACCTTACCAACTTCAACCCTAGAGAACGGCCGACAAAATAATAATATCCCATCGAGGTACATCGTGCACACATGCCCTATGAGTCTACATTCACAAACACAAGTAGGACGTTATATTTGATACCTCTGTCTCTGTTCAAGCACCCCCGGGAGGAGATGCGTTGTGTGTCTCCATATTTTCAGCGTTTCGCTAATGTTAATTAGATTAGATCGAACGTTCAAGGTCCACACAAATTCCAAACCGCGCCGCCCGCAGCATACCAGCAAACAAGTATGAAACACGCCACCATCAGCAGTATATACGTGAGGCATGACCCCCTTGTCTATTCGCGAGTATGTCGGGCACTTGCTGAAAACTAAGGGAGCATGCGTTCGCAGTAAGTCTGAGCCGGTGTGAGCTGAAGTTCAAAACATCGAAACAGCAACCAGTCAGTCTGGTATCAATCAATCGTGACGTGGCGATGCAGCACGTGGCGGTTCCACTGACCTCTCTCTCAGATCAGTCCACGCACGAGAGCCAGAGCCGGCCTGTGTGCAATGCGTTTGTTTTTTTGTGCGTTGCGTGCAGATTGCGTGGTGGGGGGAAGAAGGCAGTGGGCAGAACGGTGGGCAGGCGTGTTAGAGGGCGGATAGCGGGTAGCGGCCTGATTACACGCGAATTTGCGTGAACGGTAATAACCTGCGGCGTTCACACGACTTTTTTTTTTTTTAATTATTATGACACAACGAATCCATCTCTATCATAGAAAAGAGTCTGAGACAGATTAGCAATGAATTCATAGCGTCAGAAAGTACCTGTATGTCTAGTATTTCCCAGACAGCATATACTTGTAGGTACGTACGTATGACCCAACGAATCCATCCCCATCGAAAACAAATTAAAAAAAAAAAGAGTATTTTTCTTTTTTTTCCACAGAGTGCGCTTTCAGAAAAAAATCGAAGCGTCAGGAGAGCGTGAGCGTGTGAGAGAGGTGAGAGGGTGCGAGGTTTCGAATGTCGCAGAGAGAGAGAGAGAGAGAGGGAGGGAGGGCCATTGGAGTAGAGTGCAGCAGTGCCGTCTGAAGAGTGGCGCGTCGAGGATTTTTTTCGGGGTATCTGTGGCGTCCCGCGCGGTGGGTAGCGTTTCGTGCAGTCTCAATTGATTTCAGGGTGTCCTATAGTCCTATATATAGCCAATTTAGGCAAGCCTAACCCGAAACACGAACAGCAGTCTTTGGAATCGGTGTCGGAAATGACGTACCGCAAGAAGAGTGTTCGACAGCGCCGAAGAAGGGGCCGAAGAGGCACTCTAAAACCCACGCGATGGTTGTCGAGCTGCCGGACTCTCGCTCTTCTTCACTGCTTAGCGGGTAGCCGTGCTTAATCTGTTTGTGTTTGGGCTGGACGCAGAGCTCACGCGAGTCTTTCGCTGTGGGCATGTGCACCACTGCTTGCTGTGGCACGAATTTTATAGCACATACATAGACTAGCACCCGCCCACCCGCTTCAAAATATTTTGGTTCAGAACCGAAAAACCACGCGTTTCGGCAAACGGGCGGAGCAAATACATCGTCCTCCGGCGGGTCGCGTCTGCTCCATTGCTCGTGCGTATCATGTAGCACATCGACACATCCACGGGCGACATGAAGGATTCGGATATCGGCTGCGGAGAGGGGCGAGACTTGCAGCGAGGCCGTGCACGTGCGGATTTCAAAGCTAGGTGTGTCGCGGGGTAAACCTACGACACGATCAGATCCAACCAGCATATACAGCGCCACCAAAAGGTGAAGACTCTACATACTGTACTTGCTGTTTTGCACCGGGGTGAACGACGGCACCACATGCGAGCCCTTCGTGAGACGTACAATAGCGATGATGCTCATTCGATTGAAATGCTGGCCCGCTAACGCAAACATCCACAACGAGATTCGAGGCTCAATGTTCTAGTGTAGTCTACTTGTCTGCCGAGGACCGGGGCACACACATTTCAGTATAGCAGTAAAGGACACAAAGGACCGGGTTCAGAGCAGTCACTACACACTAAAGCTACAGTAAATCTGAAACACACGGTCAATAATAGCAAAACAGCCTATGCTCCATCGATGAGACACTGCAAGGATTGATTGGTGTTTCTTGCTGAACGGGCGGGCCGGCAAGCCACGACGAAAAAACAGCGGCATCGACGCATCTTCGAGGGCACGCGATTTCCGTCGTTCTCTCTCACGTTCAGCTATCCCTACATAACGCGACCCCACGCAAGAATCTGAGAGTTACTAAATCGCGTTAAAATATGATCGACATTCGAGAACTTGACGATGAGAACAGGTACTACGTAAATAGCTTTTTATAAAACCTACAATCCGCAGTCAGTCGCGTTTGCGGAACCCCACAGAGGTAGCAAGAAACTTCGAAGGCGCTCATCACGTGTAGGAGGCCTGGTCACGCTTGGGGCTTCGCGCTTGGGAGAGCAGCTCTGCTTGTCAGATACGACGACGGCGCGGACAAAGCAGTCCAGTGGGTGACGGCAGCGAAAGCAGTACACGTGAGGAGTGTCGGCCAGTGCCAACAACGTACAGCTGTAGAGCGGAAAGATGTTTGGGGTGTGTCAAAGCGTGTACTTCGTCATCACGCTCGCGGGTCTCTTGTCGAGAGCGTCCCTGCACCAAGGGGTGACTCAAGTTCATTTACTTTTTAGAGAGTGAGACATGAGCAAAAGACATGAAGAGCCTAATGCGTCAAAGTCCATCACACCCACACCCATCAAACCTGCGTAACCCTCGGAGATCTCGGAGATCTCGGCGATCCGTGCTCCGTCGAGTATACACAAACAGCCCCCCTACTTGGTACGAGAGACGACGAAATCCTTCGTACATATTGCCAGGTAACAACGGCAACAACTCCAAAAGCCTTCCATCGTTCATATCCACAAAATCATCTCAACCCCCGGATCTAAGTATGGAATATTCAAATTTCAAATGACTATTCCTCCTAATCCATCACGGAACTTAACTAGAGTCTTTACAATCACCCCTTCGAGAAAATATTGTCGCAACAAATTCTCAAGCAGTCAAAACAAAGAATCACCCTAGGGAAATACTCAGCAGAGATCAACATTACATCAGAGCACGTCATAAAGACTCCGAACGGATGCCTCCGGGAAAACGCGTCAGGTACAAGTATTCCTTCGAACAATATCCTCGCGCGCAACCTTTGATCAATTTCAAATAAGATTCGGAAGCACGCAAGCCTCAACCATGTCTTGTTCAAAATATGCCAAATCCTTCCTCCTGTACATCGTTCGGAAAAATTGACAGTACCAAGTACGGCAAAGAGACAAAATTCCCAACCCCAGCGCCTGCAAAATGCCGTTCCTTGACTATGCCGTTTCTCCAACATCGAGACAACACGGAAGAATTTTCAACAGCCCCCCCCTGCTGAAACATCTCCCCAAACACAAGATCTTAGACAGCCCCCTGCTGCAACATCTCCCAAGACATTCATCCAATCCATTCAATGCTTCGTCTTTATCGCAGGAAACAGCGTACAAAATGAATATCAAGGGAAACAATGCACACCAAACGCAAGTAGATTGAAATATGGTACGATGCAACCCGCCACAAGTCTCCAGACACGAAATTCAGCCCTTCAATAGTACACCATCCTGGACACAAGGAAAGATAACTACTGCGGCGAGAGAAATCGTGGCATCACATACGAATCCCCTCGCCGTGATTTTCGAAGATGAACAACTGTGACACTTGAGCTCGACCAGAAACATTTACAACGGTATTGTCCCGCAGGAGCAGTAATACTACCGTCGCATCTCTACGAAGCCCGAGGGTTCGTATCGTCGGCGCTTTCTGTCGACGGTCAAGCCAAACCCACCCGCAGCTGGCTGTGAGAAGGGAAGACATCACGTTGATCAATCGAAGGAACCATACTCATCGTGCAATACGTGGTATGCTCTGCCCTAAGCGTTGTCTCCACGCGCCCGCTGCGGTTTAAGCGGGGGAGCTCTTCGCGTGTTCGCTTTATTTTTTCAAAGGATGTTGAAGCTCCATCTGCAGCTACATAGGGCTGAGGTAGTATTACCCTACGTCGGGCTTCAACGTTACTAATGGTTCCCTTACCCTCCTTACCCGCCATAACCCCGGTACCCCCGTCATTCTCCTTACCACTACAACGCCCCCCCCTACTGAGAAGGTGGGATCAGCTAGATTGGGTGTGCCGGAGAAAAGCAAGAGTGCCAATTGTATCGAATGGGGACATCGAGTTGGCGACAAACCTACATTTCGACATGAACAGCATCGTTTCTTGTACCACCCAGCTGCTCACAACATGGAACGAACACAACAAATACACACACAACAACTCTCATCCCAACAGTAATTATCAAACGCAGAACCAAATACGACTCCCGCGGATTAAAAAACCCGAGCCGACACGATCACGATAAAACTCTCACTCCCACAAACATACATGCACTAAACTCGGTGCCTACCTGTGCACCACGACCACGACCACAAACCAACCCGCCGACACGACACTAGAATTTGCTGACTGACCTGAATACCGACGCCAACTACAAGAAGGACCTTGATCTTGACGACGCGTCGTGCGATCTTCGTGATCCTCAAGAGTACAAGACGTAAAAGAATGGCCTCCACGGCAGGTGTTTCCTCCAAGAAAAGACGCGGAAATACCCAAGCACAACAATCGTGGCGCATCAGAGGGGGTGACATCAAGAACAACCAAACCTTCCACCTTCGTACCTAGACCCCGAAAAATCTTGAATCGACTCTGCGAAATCCAAGACATGGCGGCAAAAGCATGAACGCACGTGACATACGTGAGAGTGCGTTCATCACGCGCGTGGACACAACAAAAAATCAAACATT